TGGATCAATCTGAGATTGACGTAGGTGGTCATGCTCTAAACAAACTTCTTCTTGAAAAAACATACCCATGAGATCATCAACTGGTTGTTTGGTCATCTTTGACCATATAGGCAATAATAAAGGATCCATATGAAGAGTGCAACTCACCAAGGATATATATAACATGTTAGGTCTTTAGAAGAGATAGGATACAGGCTTTCTGCTGTGGCATTGGCGATGAAATTCTTCTCCACATAATCGATGATGGAGAGTGATCCTTTGGTGATGGTCTGAAGGTCAGTCTTCATGAACATTCAGTGAGCTCGTGTTTGGCCTTGAAACATCTTTTTAATTTATGTCTAGGCCTCATGAGATGAAGAGGAACGAGCAACAGTGGTAAGGGATGTTTCAGACAGAGTTGAGTGAAGCCACAAAAGAACAAATCGATCCTTCTTCTTCCAAACAATGTAGTCAAGATTTGATGATGTGGTGGCCTTCAGTGGGTGAGACCATAATTGTCTGTGATGGTGGATTTGGGGCTTGGGCAAACTCATCTAGCTCAAACGTTTCAAGAGCTGAGATAATAGTTGATGGCCAGAGAGGGTAGTTGTCACGTGTGAGTTTGATGTCGACGGAGGGGAATTGAAAGTTGAGTTTGGTATTGTTAGCAAGACCGAGAAGAATGTGATTGGCGGCCATGGTTGAACGGTAAGAGAAAAAAATTAAAGAAAAAGGTAAGTGGCTCTTGATACCATGTAAATAATGACAGCAATATAATTTTTCTCATTGTGTTATATGTAAATATAACTTATACAAACACTGGAATTTATACAAGGTTTGTAACTGGAAATCCTAAATATACGGTTGTACACCAAATTTACAATTTAACTGAGAACTGGTCTTCTAAACGCATGCACTTTCTGACCACGTGATGTTACCGTTATTTCGTACTTATGTTAATGCTTTCATCATTATTGATTTCTTAATATAAATAACCTATATACTTCCATTTATCCTACACTTCTTATGATTATGCCTTTCTTGAGTATCGCATGCACAATTCCATCTATCCCTATATCTTTAATCTTCCTCGTATATTTTGTATTTCCATATTCGTCAAATATGCTTCCAATTCTTTTATATTTTTAGGCAACATACCTCTTAATATATATCACATATATTTAAATCACACACATTACATATATTTAATATACATATATAAATGACTCATAATATATATATATATATATATATATATATATATATATATATATATATATATATATATATATATATATATATACACACACACACACACTAGTTTATAACCCGTGGGAACTACGGTTATAAAATTAATTAAACTTTTATAGTAAAAACTCAAAATTATTAATATGTTCTTTTAAATAAATTATTAATTTAAGAGATATTTTTTAGTGATGCGAAATTATAATCGTTGATTCAAATAAATACGTAAAATTAATTTTTAATATATATTAGACATTTTTTATTCGTGAATTAGTGAAAATATTAATATAAAATTTAAATTTTAAAATAAAATAAATACATTGACAAATAGCATCACATTAATGAGGATGTCTAAAAAATTTAAAATGGAGAACTCATATATTGACAAGTAGCAACACATTAATTAAGAGGTCTAATATGATGACACATGACAAAAAACCTACTCTTTTATTACTATATATATATATATATATATATATATATATATATATATATATATATATATATATATATATATATATATATAGTTTTTCTGGTTGTTAGGACCAGTCCAATCGGTCAGACCAGTTGAACCATCGACCCAATAAGACGGTCGGTTTGTTATCCGATCCGATTTTCAAAACATTGGTTAATGCTTCTCTAATACTTATCTATTTTTTTTCTCAAATAGTTGATGATTCATCTATTTAATTTTTCTATCAGGATCATTCTTTTAATTTTCTGAATATTTCATTAACTATATAATTGATAATCTATGGAAATTGGAAAATCCCCTTGAATCTCATATATGAATTTTGAATAAATTCATGATTTTTCTTATTAACATTGAGTAAATTTTGTTAAATGTAATTTTTAATTTTATTTTGACAAAAACGTAATATTGTGGTTTTAATGTTTTATTTGTTATGTTTTAGCTTTATCTTAAAATAATCTAACAACTTGTTCTGTTTTGCTCTGATCCGAATAAATTGTTTTGTCATAATCTATCCAATAAGTCGAATTTTGTTTCATTCGGTCTATCCGAATAAATTGTTTTGTCATAATCTATACAATAAGTCGAATTTTGTTTCATTCGGTCTATCTGCTTTCATTATAGTAGTATATTTAATGTAAATTTAATATGATAGAATATCAATCAAATATGATTGAAAAAAGTATTGTATATATATAAGGCAAAAACTTAATTAAACAAAAGCGTTGAAGTAGACATTTCTAAGTTTGGGTATCTTTGGCAATTAGTATATATATATATATATAATAATATATATATATATATATATATATATATATATATATATATATATATATATATATATATATATATATATATATATATATATATATATATATATATATATATATATATATATATATATAGAGAGAGAGAGAGAGAGAGAGAGAGAGAGAGAGAGAGAGAAAGTTCAATAGAGAACCATAATTATTGATTTTTCAAAAAACCAAATGTTTTTCCAATTTCTAGATCTTATTCTTAATTGAAAAAAAAAATTAAAAATATCTAAATTCATACATTAACATTGTGAATGTGAAAAATATTTTTTGGATTCACCATTTGAATCTGGATTCACATTGTGAATTTGACGTAAAAAAAATCGAATTTGATATTATTGAAAAAGGAAAAAAAGTTATGAATTTATGTATTTTTAGTTTTTTTTTTTTGATAAAAAATAAGTTCAAAAAGTTGAAAAAAAAGATTGGTTCCTTTGTTAATTTTGGTTTTCTATTGAACCTTACCCTATATATATATATATATATATATATATATATATATATATATATATATATATATATATATATATATATATATATATATATATATATATATATATATATATATATATATATATAGGGAAAGGATCAAATGAGAAAACTTAAAATGTTGAGAACCCGATAACAAATATATTCATTTGTGATTTCATGTATTAATTTGTGGAAAAATGATAAGTTTTTACGCACAATCAAGATGAATATTCTTTTTATTTTCAATTAAAATTAAAGACGTAAATTTTTTTCATTTCTCTACAAATGAATACACGGAATCGCAAATGAATATACTGTGGTCTAGCATTCTCAACGTATTTGGTGTTCTCATTTGATCATACTCCTATGTATATATATATATATATATATATATATATATATATATATATATATATATATATAGAGAGAGAGAGAGAGAGAGAGAGGGGGCTAGGTTAATGTGTTTCCTGTATTTATACTGTGCTAGAATATACCAATAGGAATTTAGTAAAACTAAATAATTATTTAATTAAATAAAGATAGATAATAAATGATTTTATAATTGTATGTATATTATATGATATTCATAATTATAATTATCTTTTTATGGAAACTAATTAAATTCGTCGTTAGTATCATCAATAACATTCTTTTAGAATACCCTCTCATTCTGCTAGAATACAATGTCAATCTTCTAGATACGAACGTATTCTAGATACGAACTTATTCTGAAAGAATATTATGGAAATCAATTAATATACATATAATTATGGATATCATTTACTAAATTCTTATTGGTGCATTCTAGCACACATTATATATATATATATATATATATATATATATATATATATATATATATATATATATATATATATATATATATATAAAGGGGTGAGATCGGTTAAGAACTCATAGTTTCTCGAGAATCCGAGAACAAAAAGTGGAGCATTAGATCAAAATTAATTCATTAAGGGCATGATCGTCATCTTACTAATCTCATTTAATGTTTATTTTTTTTGAGTTATTAGAAATATTAATAGAAATGCCTAAAAATTTACATATTAAATCAAAATTTTGGATTTTAAAAAAAAAATTATTTTTCGATTTTTTTATAAAAGTGTAGTGTTTTAATTTTTTATAGAACACATGAATTTTTAAAAAAAAAATTGAAAAAATATTTTAAAAATAAAAACTGCAATATTTTTAAAAGCATTTAAAAATCAATAAACAATTACAAAAAAACTGAAATATTTAAAACATACTATAATTTTTTAACCAAAAAATGAACATTTTAGGTACATATATAAATATTTTTACAAATGCATACATGCATATTTCATATATTATAATATTTGTAAGGAAGGCATAAGAAAACTCATTTGATTTACTAATCTGTAAACACAATATTATAAATATTTTATTCGATACAAAATAAAATATATAAAAAAACATAAAAATGCTACAAAGTTTCAAAACGTTTTTATGTCTTCGTGTCAATATTTCCATATTTTCTTCAATTTATCATTTTCACCTCTTTAATAATCACCACAATTTCTTTCAAATCTACAAGAAAAAATTGATTAATACGAAAACTATCACAAAAATACATATGTGATTTATATGTGATTAACATATGAATCACATGCGATTCAAATATGAATCACATGCGATTCACATATGAATCACATGTGATTCATACATGAATCACATTTACATATGATATCATATGTGAACTACATTTGATTTTCATATGAATCAAATGTGATTCGTATCTGAATACGAAAAACTATTGTGCAAATATTTGTTCTTGGAAATGAACAGAAATTAGAAGAAAAAACAGTTTATAGTTTATATCTATTGAAAGCAATTTATTTCGTGTGAAAAGAATCCAAAATCGAATAAGAAACTGAGAGCTAAGCAAATCAAACTATTTCGTTCGGTTGTGATAACCTAAAACCGGAGAAAGATTTATTGAATGAAGATAGATCGATGATTTAACTGCATTAGAGACGAAGATGGAGATCGGGGCTCAAACCGTTCCCAATTTTTCTTTGACTTCGATAAAAGAAAACTTCCCGTCGTGTGGTGGAGAAGTGATTTCAACATGTAAGACTAAAAACATTAACTAACCGATTTTAAAGCTTTATCTTAGAGAGGGCATGTGATGTTTGTCTACTGAATAGTCACTGGATACACTTTACGGAAGCTTCAAAATCGAAATTATTTTCCCACCTCCCTCCTCTTCGGTCTTAGTCTCCAGCAAATACAGAAGGCCCAAACCTGAGAATAGATGGAGCAATTATGCCGTGTCAACGATAACGATAATTTGCTATCTTCACATGATTTCAGAAAGGTGAATCGAAGTTTTGACTTCAACATCTCATAGACACAGCCGAGGCAGAAGATCCAGTAGACAGTGAATCAACGACGATAATGAAGGATAGATTGCAAATACATCATATTTATGAGTGAAAAAATGAAGCATAGATCGATCACATTCAAAAGAGCGAGGTGAAAGTTCAAGATCAGATTAACCAGATCTAGCGAATCGATCTTCAATTTAGAAAAATAAAGTTATGGTGATTAGCATATATCATCGTTTCTTCTGGAAAAAAGAGCGACATATTCATAATCGGCTATGGATGTTGACGAAGGAGCAAGTTGCGATGGCCATGAAGAAGTGTGAGAGAGAGAGAGAGAGAGAGAGAGAGAGAGACATGAAGAATAATGAGAGATGATAGTTTCTTAAATTTTTTTTAATAATTAGGAAATAATAATTGTTAATACCTAATATACCCCTGAGATTACTTTTAACAAGCATAAGATACCATTGAAATTGATGATAATTACAAAAATGTCATCTTTGATCTAGGCTATTACAAGTGTCCAACCCTTTTTGGCTAATGAGTTTTTTTTCCATCTGCTAAGTTTTTCGACCCGAACCGTTTTTTCTTTGAAAAAAAAAAACTGAAAAAACCAAATGTCTTAAAATTTAATTATCTACAAAATGAGCACAATCATGAAAAGTTGAAAAAAATAACATTTTTTTTAATTTTTTATATTTATACAAAAAACCAAGAAAAAAATTCTCCAAAAATTACAAAAATTTAAGGAACACTTCAACTCACTGTTCTAATGATTTTGTAAAAATAATTTTTAAAAAAAATAAAGTGTTTTAGATACAAAACTTGATTTTAAAAGATTACAAGTTTTTTTTTAAAAAAACTTGTTGAACATAATATGATCTAAATAAAGATGATTCAAAATATTATGATTCAATGTGTTTATGATCATTAACTTGTTATGATCCAAAAATATTTTGATTTAAATATTTAATGAGCCTTAATTATTATATTTTTTATGAATCAAAATTAAAAGATTCAAAAATTATAATGATCCAAATGTTGTATTGAACAAAAACTTTTTTAATACAAAATATTACGATCTAAATTAAAATGATCCAAATTAATATGATCAATAAAATGCATGATGCATTATATTGTTATGATTCAAAATACTACGACTCAAAATTTTATGATAAAAAATAATACGATTAAAAGAAATATGAATGTAAAATATTATGATCATTAATATTCTTCTTATTTAAAATTGTATAATTGTTAAACATTCAAAAACTCAAACCGATATTTAGTTTAAAAAACTAAAAAAAAAAAATAATAAATAAAAAAAACACAAAAAACCCTACTATTTTCAAGTATGTAGAAAAGATATTAAAAAACACAAACGAAAACAAGAAAAAAAAACTTAAAAAAAAAACGAAAAAAGATATGAAAACATTAAAACCAAGCATATATCTATTTAAGAAAAAAAATATGAATTTTTTTAACGAAAAATAAAAAAATAATAATATTAACAACGAAAAAAATCCAAAATAAATGAAAAAGTATAGTGAAACCCATTTAAATAATGTTCCATGGACATTCGATGCGCATGATTATTCCCTCGAGTCTGTATTACGTTACATGCACGTGCACCGTGTGCGAACGTTTCACGAGCAAGTAAATGGGATTGACCTTCGTGCCCTTGAGGAAATGATTGGTGGAGAATAGTCATTGTGGTTCCTACCAATTTTTGCGTTCCTATTGGATTCAGACCCAATATATATATATATATATATATATATATATATATATATATACACACACAAAGAGAGAGAGAGAGAGATTCAACATGAATCAGATCTTTCTTATTTTCCGCTCTAATGCTCTTGGTGTGGCATGATACATCTAATTGTAAATGATGATATAGTGGTGACAATGGTGGTTGGTGGCGGATGAGGTGGTAGTGGTAGAGGTAGTGGTGATAGAGGTGACAATGGTTGTGTTGGTTGGTGGCTGAGGTGGTGGTAGTAGTGGTAGCGTTGGTGGTTGTGGATGTGGGTATGGTGGCGGGGGAAAAGAAATGAACGATGCTTCATATTGATTTATGATTACAACTCTTATGTCGCACTAGTATAGTATGAGACTAGAGCGGTAAATATGATATATATATATATATATATATATATATATATATATATATATATATATATATATATATATATATATATATATATATATATTTGGTTTATACTAAACTTTGAACTAAATTTTTTTGATTTGGAGAACAACAAAGCTGAAAAATGATACACTTAGTTTTTTTTTAGAGTTTTAGGTGCTTTAATATTTTATTTTTCTTTTCTTTACACATTAATAAATTACAACTATTTTTTATCCGAACAATTGTACATAAGTATATTCCAACCTCCAGTTAATTTTGTCAAACGTATATTTAGTAAGTATATAGTGTTGCACTTGATTTGTATAACTTGACAAGTTACTCACCGTTTGTGTTTGTACAGATAAGATTGGCAAGAGTTTGATAGTGAAATCCTACCTAGGATCAGTTGCATTTAACAACATCACTAGAATCACTTTTGGGAAACAGTTTGTGAATTCCGAGGGCATGATAGATGAGCAAGGGAAAGAGTTTAAATCTATTATGGACAATGGGATAAAGCTTGGTGGATCTTTAGCCATACCTGAACACATTCCATGGCTCTGGTGGTTCTTCCCACTTGAAGAAGAAGCCTTTACCAAACATGGAGAACGTCGTGATCGGTTAACCCGAGCAATTATGGAAGAGCACATTGCCGCTCGTATGAAAAGCGGTGGAACCAAGCAACATTTTGTTGATATTTTGCTCATGCATCAAAAGCAGTATGACTTGAGTGACGACAGTATCATCGGCTTACTTTGGGTATTCTTCACTGCTCTCCAATTTTTTTGTGTATGAAGCATAGGATCAAAAAGTGTAGAGAGTCTAGTCCAGATAAACTCTCTAAGACTATTGATGAGGATTAGAATGACATTCATGCCTTTTGACCAGGTAGTAGATTGGAATAAGGCCCGTATCATATCTTGTTTCATATTTTTGTATATGAAAAAATTTACAACGTTTGTTCCCTACATTTGTTCGATGTGTATTATACACACATGAGGCAATAGAATTTAAAACAATACAATTGGGTATTGTATTGGTTATGTGTTAGACTAGGGATTAGAATACATACCAAAAATATAAAAAAATTGCAATCTTTTTCCTATCGGGTTTTCTACAGAAAAGTCTCAAATTTTTTTCAAAAGTTTCAATAGAGTCATAATTTTTTTTTAACAGAAAAGTCCCAATATTTTAAAAAAAATCATATAATCTATCATTTGCTATTCAAATATAAAAAAGGATTTTTTCGTTAATTTAGGCAAAAAATCAAAATATTGAGACTTTTCTGTTCATATTTTTTTAGGACTTTATTGAAACTTTTTAAAAAAGTTTGGGATTTTTCTATAAATAACCCTCCTTCAGTAATGTGGAACCAAGTGGGGTAGCGACTTGCTCTCAACCTATCCTCCCAGTAAAATATGTAAATACCCTCCTCATCCTTTCATTGACTATATCTCTAAAAAGCTTGTTAAGTCCTAGTATCCCATTTTACAACCACAAAACCTTAGAAACAAGTCTATAGGTTGTTCGGACATGCACCTAAATATGAATTTATAATAATTAGTTTTGAGGGCATTCGTAGAGCCACATGATTATAACTTTCTATATAATTATAGAAAATTAATCAAATTTGATTATGATTATTCAAATCGTGGGAATTTTTATTTTTATAACTATCTTCAACATCTCTGATTCATGAACAGGACATGATCACAGCAGGAATGGACACAGCCACAAGCTCAGTTGAGTGGGCAATGGCCGAGATAATCAAGAACCCAAGGGTCCAACAAAAAGTTCAACAAGAATTAGACTCCATAATCGGCTATGAACGTGTGCTCACAGAACCAGACTTCTCAAACCTCCCATACCTCCGAAATGTAGCCAAAGAAGCTTTGCGATTGCACCCCCAACCCCACTCATGCTCCCTCACAAAGCAAATACAAATGTCAAAGTTGGCGGTTACGACATCCCAAAAGGGGCCAACGTACACGTAAATGTGTGGGCCGTGGCTCGCGACCCTACCACATGGAAAAAACCATTGGAATTTAGACCAGAACGGTTTCTTGAAGAGGATGTGGACATGAAAGGACACGATTATAGATTATTGCCATTTGGTGCGGGAAGGAGGGCATGTCCGGGTGCCCAATTAGGGCTTAATTTGATGACCTCTATGTTAGGCCACCTTTTACATCATTTCTCATGGGCTCTAGCTAATGGCTTGAACCCTGGAGAAATTGATATGTCTGAAAACCCTGGGTTAGTGACGTACATGAGGACCCCGCTTGAAGCTATCGCCACACCTAGGTTACCTGTTTGTATTGTATAAACATGTAGTTGTTTATATGTAACTTGGTTTGTGTTTGAAAGGTATTGTGGTGGTTAAATTTACAATTTGTAGAGTATTTGTATGTTTATTGAGGTTGAGTGATTGAAAGAAAAGTGTTATATGTTCCTTTCTTGATGTCATGTTAAAGGAAAACATAAGGGAACATATAAGAATTGACAAAATTTAAATTTTTTTACAAACATTATTTTTATGTTGGTATGAGGAAGGTATTTTTCTTCTTTAACTCTTATTTTTTAAAAGAAAGATGTTATCTATTAAGCACAACTGCCAATATTATTATTCAGGCGTAGCTGCCAGAATTATGATATTTTCTATTAGGCGCAGCTGCCGATATTGTCCTTTGGTCACAGCTGCCAGGGTTATTACGTTCTCTATTAGGCACATCTGCCGATACTACCCTTTGAGCGCAACTGCTATGCTGTTTAGAGTACATCGTAGATCAAAACATCTATAGGTCGTGGCACAGCTCCCAATGCTCATCTATAGGGTACTAAGTCCATTGCTGCCAATGTTTACCTATAGAGCACTATGTCCACAAGTACTAATGTTCCTCTATATCAACTTTCATCCCTTATCATTCATCTACTGATGTTTTACCCAACATATTTTGTAGATTTAAAATACATATATACAGTGTAAAGCATTTAAAACATGTATAAGATCGTGCATCTAGCATAGATATCATGTAAACAGATAATATGCACACATAACACGTAATTTATATAAAATAGGTCCTATCTATGTGTAAGATGAAGGTAATTATGCACTCACAACACGTTATTTATATTAAATACTTCATATATTATATATATATATATATATATATATATATATATATGTGTGTGTGTGTGTATGATGAAAGGGACTATGCACTCACTTGTTAAAGTGACAACTCGATATTCGAGTAGCGCTTCGCTTCTTAAGAATATGATTTCAGTCAATGAAATCTTGTATTATTACCACCAGATTTTAGTCTAATATTTATTGTGACTAATTATTATTCTATATTCATCATTAACTTAGTGTCTACTTCATGATCTATCAAGTAAGGATCAGCCAGGCAGGACAGTTGGGTGGTAGGACCATTTCGGTATATAGCTTTTCTAATATCGAACAACCAATCCCAACATGACCATTCTAGACACCTCTCCCGTAAGTAGATCAATCAATATAACGACTTTAATTAACTGATAAATCCTATTTATATGTTCAAAAGAACGATATTATATTTAAATATAAGCTATATTTAAAGTAGGGTAGGCGTATCTCACTTACAACAGATTATGCTAAAAACCAGGTTCCGCTGGAGTAGTGCTTCTGAGCCGAAAAGTTCATTTTCTCGGAGCCTTCGGGCACTCCAGGTATTTCCTCTAGCAACTTGAGGTTATTAGCGATTTAGAGGGGTTTTAGGAGTCTAGTGAGTAGTTAGAGAGAGAAAGAAAGGCTTATGGTGTGAAGAAAATATGAAGGATTCATCATTTATTTATACAGGTTTTATCATAAAGTTGGCCCTACGTTTTGTCCGTATCTTCCGTGTACGAGCTCCATTTGCTTAGTTATTTATATCCACTCGTTGGTATTTACAAGTACTACAACTTTCATTTAGACTCCGTCGGCTAATTCTCATTTTATCTCCGATTTCCAAAACTGTATCGAATTTATCGCGCTCGAAGAGTAGGGACTAAGTTTCATCCATATCTTTAACATATGAGCTCTATTATTGATGTTCTTTATATCCACACATTGGTATTTACGAGTACTACAACTTTCATTTAGATCCCGTCAGTTAATTCTCATTCTATCTCAGAGTTACAAAACTGTATCGAATTCACCGCGCTCGAAGAGTAGGGACTAAGTTTCATCCCTATCTTTCGCATACGAGCTCCATTTTCGACTGTCTTTTTATCATTGAACTCCTATTAACGATATCTTCATTTATGTTTTATATTATTTTGGTTAAAAATCGAGCGATCTAAAATTTGAATTTCGGGCTGTGCAGTCTATGCTAAATCTTAGAAAAATCACAACTTCCTCATACGAAGTGAGATTTGGATGTTATTTTTATGAACACTCTTGGCTTAACATATAATACGACTTTTTTTTAGATAACTAAGGCTAGAAAGTATTTTATCGTAAATTCACTTTTTACGATTCCTGGTGTCATGCCGGTTTTGCTCTAAATTTTCGACGGATCATAACTTCTTTGTTATAACTCGGATTTCAGCTTTCTTTATATGCATGGAACCCTTGTGACATATACTATAACTAGGTCAAGATTATATAATCTAAATTATCTTATATAAAAAAGTTATTTTTGACGCTTATTGTCTCTAAATTGACGGACCCGAATCTGCCGATGTTACAATGATCTCCCCTTAGGATGATTACATCTCGGAATCATCAACGAAATTGGGCTTGTATAATGACTCCATACATTATATTTTCATCCTAGGTAATAACTGTAACTCCTATGTTCCTTCGAATGCGTATCTAACTCTTAGACTTCTGGATTACAGGCGGTGCTCGATCTTGCACCCACTCTGTATCTCACGTTGGACTTTCAATCGTGACCTTCAAGTCATAATATCGATCCTTATTGGAGACTCCTACTCCTTTGGAAACAGTCTTTAACTTTGATTACCGTTATAGACCGATGAGACATGTTCTAATGACGTCTCACCGTATGATGTAACGCTTAGGCTCAGGTCTTTTAGAGTCAAATTCCAGAATGGAATATAACTTCCTTCATGTTCTAATATGATATAATCACATTCTATCATGTATCACTTCTAGGTACAAGCTTCTAACCTTAACAACGGTTGCGATACTCCTATTGATCGTTTCGATTATCTTTCACTTCAATCTTTTGACTTAAGTGAGATGCTACATGGATCTTGGTTCTTTAAACCACATAACATACTCATCTTAGACGGACTCAATTTGATATGCTCATTAGGGTCGGATTAACAATCATCTTCTTCGTTATTACCGAAATGATGGCAACGGCACACAAGAACGAAACATAATCGCTTACTAGTTCCTTAGTAACCTTGTGACTTTCTCTCATCCAAGAACAAGTCATGTGCTTCCGGTAATATAAGACTTTACTACCTTTCAGACCTACTCATACTCGTCCTAGTTATTGTCTTGCATTTCTGCAAGTTATTATCACAAAAAAAAAAAAAAAAATTAACACATACAAATGTGTCCAAACAATCATACAATTTTCTCTAGACTCAACTAGGACATCTTCCATGCGTATCTTCAATCATCAATTCTGATTCAACTCGGTTGGTGATGGAAATGTTAGACGATGGGATAACTTCATGCATTATACCAAAAATCTTTCTTTCTGCTAATCGAAAGTATACTTCTCCTGTATTAGATGTATTATTTATTAGATGCATTCTAAAGGCAAGATATCACTCTTATGATATCTTCCGATAGGTGTCATTCACTATCGTAATCCTTCTCATTTCCTCCATTTGCTTAGTCTGCTATGAGTCCTTATCATGACATTCACCCAAGCAGGCGTTTGGTGTATCGAAACGAGAATATAGATAGAGAAGGTTTAGATGTATAATCCTCCTAATTACTATGAAAAGTTTTCTACCAGTTCTAATACCATAATTAAACCTTTAGAAATCTGAACACATAAAATTTCTAGATCCGGTCGGCAACATACCATAGATCCAATCAAACGATAGCATAAAGGATCACAATTTTTTTAGCACATAAAAGCATCTTAGGCATCTTCCCTAATTAAGCTATTGCTTGTGTCTATTTAGGCGTACTTCCTAAAATATATTAGACACACTCCTCATGATCATCACTTAGCATTGTAAGTTTAAGTCTAGAAATAAATCCTTATTCCTAGTTCGCTTAAACTAGTGCTCTTATACCAACTGTGGCATCCCCATTTTCACGACAAAAAAAGACCGATTTGTTTATGCTTTATTGAAAATCAGAGTTTCCTTTTTAAAGAAAAGAGTTGTGCAATTTGTTCCCAGAAAAACATGATAAATGCGTTATCAAAGCATCTCCGAAGAAATGTATTTTATTCATTTTAAAACATTGGGATGCCATCGTCAATACAGAAACATAGGCATAAACAGAACGTACATTCATTATTACTAGTTATTTATGTCTCCTTAATCTATCAGTGTAATGTAACATCATATCGACACCTGTGATACAAATAAACTGAGTGGGTCAGGTTGGGAAATCCAATGAGTACATAGGGTTTTCAACCCACAATAGTAAAGTTATTATGCTTAATCATCCAACAATAAACCCAATAACCCATCCCCACTATCTTCTTTATTTTTAAGTATCTTCCCTAAGAGTCATCTATTCATCATTATTTATTCCTAAGAATTGTTCTAAGCAATAGGCACGAAGTCTATCGTTTGCGTAATGACACAGCTGTCAATGTTATCTATTAAGCACGACTGCCAATATTATCATTTAGGCACAGCTACTAGAATTATGACATTCTTTATTAGGCGCAACTACCGATATTGTCCTTTGGACGCAGCTGCTAGGGTTATGACATTCTTTATTAGGTGCAACTGCCAATACTACCCTTTGAGCGCAACAACTAGGATGTTTAGAGTACATCGTAGATCAAAACTTCTACAGGTTGTAGCACAGCTGCCAATGCTCATCTATAGGGTACTAAGTCCATTGCTGCCAATGTTTACTTATAGAGCATTATGTCCATAACTGCCAATGTTCCTCTATATCAGCCTTCATCCCTTATCATTCATCTACTCATGTTTTACCCAACTTATTTTGTAGATATAAAATACATATACAGTGTAAAGCATTTAAAACGTGTATAAGATCGTACATGTAGCATACATATCAAGTAAATAGATGATATGCACACATAATACATAATTTATATAAAATTCTTCATATCTATGTGTAAGATGAATGTAACTATGCACTCATAGCACGTTATTTATATTAAATAA